TCATATGTTGGAAGTAGATATGAATCAAGACTGTCATGGTTGTCTTGTAGAGGTCCAAGTTGGTGGACAAAGTTGTGCTACAACACTCATGAGTGCTCATAAGTTCGGAGTATTAGATTCAACCACGCTCATTTGAATCACTTCATGGATTTCATCATGAGTGATCATGAGACGATAATATCTTATATTCTTCAAACCTAGAGATATGAGTTGTTACTATGAGTTGGTTATACATTGATTGCACGAAACCACATTGGTAACTCGATGTTATAAAAGGTGTCTTTGTGTATTATTCAACAAGTAGCAGAACAAGCCATATGAGTCGAAGTTTATCAATTCCTTTTACCTTCGGGATAAAAGCGATATATGTGGGCCCCTCGATGATTTAGCGATCACACATGTGAGTGCTTGGCCAAGCCAGGATTGATTTGATTTGTTCAATCAGTCAGTCGTCATAAATCGGAAATCGGGAAACAACAAATGGACAGAGAGAATGATTTATAATCCATGTCTCAGTCCATATGATATCTAGAATAGAGGAATATATGATCCCTTATCTAATGGACAAGTCATTGACAAAGGTCAGAGATCATCGGCAAGGTCAGAGTTTGAAGGAAGCTTTTGAGAGCTACGATTGCCAGTTGGTTCTTGAAGTCATACTTGCCATAATAGTTTTAGACTTATCCAAGTGGGAGACTGTTGGATTAATGTCTAAGTCCGTAACTATAATTGGTAAGACTTGACCCAACCCGGCATGGTCTATTTGGGTTGCATGGCATCATGCATTTGGATAGACTACAATGAGAGAAATAACACTTAACGTTGATTAATGTATTATAAGTTCTAATATATTAATAGGATTATTTAATTAGTATTGATCAAGAATTAATCTAGAATTAATTAAGTGATCAAAAGAAGACTAATTAAATATATGGGTTGATTGTGTAAATTATCCATACTTGTATAGTGGGCTAATGCTCCATGGCTAATCAAGTTGGGTTAAAACCCATAGGATGGTCCATGGATGCTCCATGGTGTATTTGAACCCATGGATCCAAGGAAATGGAAGGCCATGACAATTAGGGTTTACCTTAATTGTAATGACTATATAAGATCATATTCTTTGGGAAAAATTGGGCACTAAGTTACGAAGATAAGGGCTAGCCGATTTTAGAAGTGATCAAGTTTCTCTCAAGTTATTTCAAGTGTATTTAGTGTTGTGTGAACCATTTGAGGTGTCACACTTAGGGAACTAGGCACTCAAGCTTCTTGAGAACATTCTACACCAAAGTGGTATGTATTCTATCTTGTTATATTCATTGTTTTGTATGCTAGATTAATATAATACCTTGGATGTTCATGTTTGCATGTATAATAGAGAAAACATATATCCAAGGTATTTAGGGTTGCATGTACACTTAGGAGTGTTAGAATGCTCAAAAACCAACATATTCATCCACTCGTCGAGTCCTTTGATCTTCAAGTCCATGACAAACCCCTAACATGTTGAGTGTTTCTTCCACTCAACCAAAGACCAATACCAAAAGATATTGGGGGGGGGGGGTGCATGCGACCCGACTTGCCGAGTCACCCTCCAAAAATATTCAGTCGATTATAATGGGTCTTAATGCATCAAAACCATAGATCTGGCCTCATAGGGTTCATTTTAAACGTAAAGCTATAAGTTGGTGAAAATATAGATAATCATGTATGTGTTTATTTGTATATATGTATGTATGTGTGTATGTGTCCATAGGTATGGATGTATGTATGCATATCAAAAATCACAAGTACTAATAGGCATTACGACGTTAAACAATGAAATGAGTAATAGACCCTGAAGGTGCACACGACATTATGAACAATATTAATAGCGATATGTAAGGGTCAAAGTTTTGGTTGTAACATGTCGAAATCTGTAATGTTGTTTTACAAGACATTTTATATCGAAACTTAATGTTTAGTCCTTGTATTGTTTTTTTTTTGTATGCTTTCACGTCTCTTACAAATAAGACTTTACTTAGAGTTAAATAAGAATCAATATTCGACTTGTCTATTTTGTCTTTGTAAACATTGAAAGCATAATATCAGCTAAAATACGATTCTATTTATTTTTGGTGTTCATTTACTTGATTACTCTGATATTTTCTCGATTCATCACGTCATCAATATAAGTTGGTGAAAATATAGATAATAATGTATAATAGACGTGTTAAACAAATGAAGCGGAAAAAACGACATTCCGTGCCCGAAAATACGACAATAAGAAAAATCCATCATAAATCCATAGGTAATTACCTACAGATTAAATACAGATTTTTCTTGTTTTCATATTTTCGGGCACCAAACGTCGTTTTTACTGTTTCATTTTTTTTACATGTCTATTATAAATTATTATGTATATTTTCACAAACTTATAACTATTAATATCGTATATAAAGGCATGTGCACCTTTGGGGTCCATTACTCGTTCCATTTTTTAACATTGTAATGGTTACACTTTCACTAACAAACTCTTTTGTTTCTTTTTAAATACATGTAGATACACATACACAAATACGTACATATACATATGCACATAAACATATAAATATACACACAGATGTAAATACACATACCCATACACATATACATATACATCCGCACATACGTTCACATATAGACATACATAAACATACATACATACATACATACATACATACATACATACATACATACATACATATGTATTACAATGTTAAACCATGAAATGAGTAATAGATCCCGAATGTGTACACGACTTTATGAACGATATTAATAGTTATAAGTTGGTGAAAGTTTAGATAATCATGTAAGCATGTATGTGTCTATATATATGTATGTATGTATATATGAGTCTATAGATATGGATGTATGTATGTGTATCAAATACCACAAGTACTAATAGACATTACAATGTGAAACCATGAAACGAGTAATGGATCCTGAAGGTGCACACGACCTTATGAACAATATTAATAACCATAAGTTGGTGAAAGTATAGATAAACATTTATAATAGAGGTGTGAAAAAAACGAAGCAGAAATAACGACGTCCGGTGCCCGAAAAATTCGAAAATAAGAAAAATCCGTAGCTAATCTGTAGGTAATTATCTACGGATTACCTACAGAATATCGAAAAAAGACATATTGCATAGCCAATCCATAGGTAACTACCTACATAATAGCTACGGAAAATCTTTTTCGTCAAAAATCCGTAGGTAATCCGTTGGTAGTTACCTACGGATTCGCTACAGATTGTTTTTATTTATGATTTTTTGGGCACTGAACGTCGTTTTTTTTGTTCATTTTTGTTTCTCACCTATATTATACATGTTTATCTATATTTTCACCAATTTATAGTTATTAATATCATTCACAAAGGCATGTGCACCTTCAACGACATTGTAATTTCTATTAATAGCTGTGATTTTTTATACACATGCATATAGACAGATACACACATACATATACATACACATACATGTACACACACATACACACACACACACACACACACACATATATATATATATATATATATATATATATATATATATATATATATATACTTACACACATTTAAATACAGACATACACGTATACATATACATACACATAAATATACACATACAAACAAACACACACACACACACACACATATATATATATATATATATACACACACACAGACACACACTCACATACATACATACATAAATACATACATACATATACAAATGTACATATTTCCCCTTATTATAATCATTTTTTTATTATTTATAAATTGAACGTAGATTATTTCACTTTATTTATATGTTAAACATAGTTTTTTTTTCGTTTAATTGTTTGTGTGTTAAACACATTCTTTTCCATTATTATATATTATCAATATGTTCATAAATATTATTATTAGTATAACTTTTAATTGTTCGTCTCTTGAATATGTACAAAAAATGATCCAAGAAAAGGTTTCAAGATGAATATTAATGAAAAATAATAATTTTGGGAATAATAATAATAATAATAATAATAATAAATAATGGAAATTAATAAATTCATTGGTATTCCGTAGCTATTCTGTAGATATTCTCCTCCGTTAGTAATCCGTAGCTATTCGGTAGCAAATTACCCATGCAATACCTATGGATTTTCTTCCGTCGCTAATCTGTAGCTATTCCGTAGATAATTACCTACGAAATAGCTACATATTCACTTCCATCACTAATCCTTAGCTATCTCGTTACTAAATTAGGACATCTCATTCCGTACGTAATCCGTAGGTAATTACATATGGAAATTTTCCGTAGCTATTTTCTGTAGCAAAACATATTGTTTTCTAGTAGGCCATGTAAAGTGACATGCCACATGTATATATATGAGATCCGGGTGATCCTTTTACATATCAAAATGATAAATGATATTTTTACATACATTTTGTGATTTACAATAGTTATAGGAACTATTTAAAACCATACTTAAAAGTTTGTTGAGAGTTAATATAACATTAAGATCCCTTCACGTTGCAAAATTAATGAACCTTTTTACAAAAAAAAAAAAATTGTGATTTTAGTTAGATAGAAAACACAATAATGATTACTGGTGCTCTGGTAGAAACTATTTAATACTGTACTCAAAAGTTATTGGACAGTCAATAACATCAACCCATATAAAAACAAGGCTCGTGTATTTTATTGTTGCCATTTCCGCATCGTCAATTTCGATGCATTCTCAAAGACCTTTTGAAAGCCATGGAGTACGTCACCGGACACGGTTTTGGATTCGTCACATTCTTTCTCCCACCTTCACCTTATCGCGTCCTTAATATATTACTGATTTCTGTTTGGATTGTAGTGCGTGGCGTTGAGATGTAATTGCTACAAAACATTTGTTAAACTTCCTGTCACTTGCCTTTTTCATCTTATATTCATTTTAAATCATATTTTTCTATTTTTCTGGTTTATAAATTTCTGGAGTTGTGGTATGTGGTTTAACTCCATCTAACTATTTCTCAAAACCCGAGAATATAGTATGGGTCAGACTGCAACTTGGCCGGAAAGTTTGCCAAGCAACAGGATAAAAGCTTTTCACGAGCTGATCCAAGGCCAGGAATTGACCAATAATCTGCGGGAGATGCTTCAGTGGCCGAGAAAGATAGAGTGTGATCCCACATATGAAGATGGCATTGTGATGCAAATCATAGCGATGTTTAAGAATACACTCTTAATCTTGGGCTCTTGCACTTCAAACCAGCATCTTGAGATTCCGACAAGTGATATGTGTTTATCATATAGTTCGGATGGGTACAAATCCGAAAATTCAGGCAAAAATGAGGGAAATATCATCCCGGCAAAACGTGAAAAGGAATGCCACAAAAGAAGGTAGGTCTCATAATATCTTATTGTAATGGTTTTAATTAATTACCCTAAATCTATAATATGTAAAGTTACTAGATTTACTTTTAACATTATTTTTCATTTGTTATGCCTATATATTTAGAATTTTTTTTGGAAATTGATACGATAACTTTAAGGTCATTACATATGTACGCCTGTAAGTGTAGTCAAGCTACTAATTTCCAGTTTATTTGGACACATGTAGAAAAAATTCATGGACGTCATCACAAGTGACCTCTACTTTGGTTGATGATGGGCATGCATGGAGAAAATATGGTCAAAAGCATATCAACAATACAAACCATCAAAGGTATATTTTTCTGGAAACATGAGAGTATGTGTCTGTTGACCTATTCATTTGGAGAAAATGTGTATAATAAAATATTTTCTTTTTGCTAATTTTGGTTGTATATATTTGTTGATATGCTAGGAGTTATTATAGGTGTACCTATAAGTTTGACCAAGGATGCCTCGCAGCAAAGCAAGTCCAAAAGATCCAAGACAAGCCACCAAAATATAAAACAACCTACATGAGACACCATACTTGTCAGAATCTACAAAGAGCTCCTGAAATCATTTTGGATTCATTAAATTCTAGAGATACATCAATCCTTTTTAACTTTGAAACAAAGGGGCTCATAGCGAGGACACGAGTTGGCACCTTTTTCCCCTCTATAAAGCATGAACAAAAGGAGAGTTACCCTTCTCATGGGAATTTGAGGAATGAGGAATATTCGTTTGCCAATGACCTATTGTGCTCTAAACGCATGTGTTTCAAATAATCCGTTCGAACCAAATATCTAAGACTAAAACGTTATACGGGTTCGATCACGGGGACATAATATCTTCAAGGGGGCATTCAGGGTCGGATGATCACCGGGATATGATATCTTCATGGACGCATATATCAATATATTACTAGTAACCATGGTTATTAGATGACCATATATATGCTTGAAATGAATGTTTTCAATGATTTTCCTTCTTAATAATTTTTGTTGCATCATTGTTAAAATTTTAAAATATGATAAACATATGCGATGGAACATGAAAACTTCGTTTACAAAGTCATTAATTAAATTATACCCATTTTACATATTAAGGTCTAGAATTATATCAAGATTCAAGACATTAAGTTGTGTCTAATATTAGAAGATTTAGAGTCAAAGACGGCCAACTATAAAGATAGTATATGATTATAAAAAGTAATATTAAATATGTTATTCAAATCAATATAATATAGATAAATTATCTATTTTAAACCATATTCATTTAAAATTATTACATTTCCATGATGTTAATTAACTACTTTATTAATTGAAATATTTTGTTTATATAAAAAGATTATTTCATTTTTGGTTACCCACAAGAAAAAGTTTTAGATGAAATATGTTGGAAAGAACTAAGGATATAATAATCATGCTTGAAAGCCTAAAAGGTACTTCTAAAAGGGGCTTGAATGATTTTCAAGGTTTCAATTTCATTTACATATTTTTGGTTCTATTTTCCTTATATTTTTGGAATATTTATGGTTGTATATTTTATGAAAAAGAAAAAGATAACTAGTTAAATTTATTTCTTACAATTAGTTGAAGATGTATTCTTTTAGTTTGCAAAATCCTAGAATTTTTTATTATTCGGTTACATTATCGGATGTGTAACTAATATAATTATAAAGTATAATTATAGTATTGATAAATATTTTACTCAAATATATATTGATTAAAAATTTTAATAATATAATAAGTTGTTCAATTTCAATGTAAAAAAAAAAAAAATTAAATTAATATAAGTCTTTATCTTTATAAATCCTATAAAAGAGGCAATCTTATTGAATATACTTCAAGACATATCAAATACTTAGGTCATATTCATTTTAAATTTCCACAACCTTTCAACTTTCAACCAATTAATAGCAATCATTTAAGAGTTTTTAACTTATATCTTATAATTACTTAACTAAATGATTTTGCATGTTTCTAAAATTAATATCATTATATATATATATATATATATATATATATATATATATATATATATATATATATATATATATATATATAAGTTGTGAAGAATAGTAACAGTAAATATGCATCTTATTTGTCTGTTTTGGCCCCTGTACTTGCATTCGTTAGTGTTGGCAGAATTGATATATAATTTTAGATATTTTCATGTTCTACCCTGATCTATTCCTATGGGTTGAATTTTACTCGACCACAGTTACTGTTTGTGGGTTACCATATCAATTTCGATGTCGGTAGTGGACCTTGCGACGTGTCCTCGACCCACGATGGAACGACTCAAACTTCCAATACCATTGCTCCAGCTACCCATCTCCTTCCTTTTACCGTTTCATCTCAATCTTCTTCTCTCCACCGCCTTTTCACCTAATATCGATGTCTCCACCGCTAACTTCCCATATATCGTCATTTTTTCGCTTTCCCCTCTTTCATGCTTTCCAGATATTTCTACTTTCTCATCCTTAATATTGATCTCCACCTCTCTGTATCGTCGCCCCTATCATTGGTTGGACCTGATTAACTGAGGAAATGGTGGTTTTTTCACTTTTGTTTCTTATGCATCCTCTATTTTCGATTCTTCACAACTTCTGATGCTATTTAGAATTTGCATTTTCCCTCTTCAAATGATGCTTCAAACCGGTTTGGGGTTGTTTATAGGCGATGTAGCAACATCCTGATAAGACCTAATTTTTAGCAATCGGTCTACCAAGGTCCTAGTGGAAGTGGAGTATCGCATGTTGAGGATTCGAGTGAACTTAAGAACAGATCTGCTCCACTGAATCAGGTTTTTTCGATGTTTACCACCGCTATTTTATGCTTCTAACCGGAAACAAAAGACGGTGATTATCCCAATTCCTTTCAATTACTCCCCGATTATATGCTTTGTTGCCGAATATATGGCCTCCACAAACCCTACACGCACTCCATCGTTATGGATTCAACTTCACCCAGTTAAGTATACTTATAGTTGTTGATTTCATATTTCACATATTTTTTTTTTCTTTGTTTCGTTTTGTTGCAGGTTTAATGAAGATTTCAACACTTCAAACTTTTGTTTGTAAGTTTTTTTTAATATTCTTTTGTGCTTTTTGTTTATTATTGTTCCATAGTTGTAAATTTTGTTCTCTGATAGCAAATTACCTTTCAGTAAACCCAGACAACAAAGCTTACTTCTAATCAAGATTTAGAGTGGTACCAGCTACTTGGTCAGGTGTGTGGAATCTGTCGTACAAGAGACTAGAGGAAGGGAAACAATAGCCAGTACTCTTTAGGAGATTATGTGGGTTCGATTTCATTTCCAGGAAGAGGAATGAACAAAAAACTCATTCATTAGAATCAAGAAGTATAAGGATTTGGAGGTAATTTCAATTCCAGTATAATTACAAGCATTCTACTTGGTTGAATTTTCGTGTATGTTAGGCTTTTCATAAACTTAGTTTTTTTTGTTGGATTTGTTGGCAACTTTCAGTGTCAGCCTTCTTGCAGTCAACACCTTTGATTTATTTGACCATTTGATTTGGTTTACTCTAACATTAACATCTCTTGGCAGCCTCACTATCAGCCTTCTTCTAATCTTCTGTTACAGGTTTGAAGTGTAGTTCTGGTCAAACAAATGCCTTGGAAAGAAGGGGAAGTTTTGGTAATTTGTTTTATCATGGGGGTTTTAGGTTTCTTTGTGATTTTTTTTTTGCCCTTGTGATGATGGCTAACTTGGTGGTTTTCTGATATGTTTACGATTACTCATGTGCTCTTGATTCAATAGACAAGATCTACACATTTTTGCGTGGAATGAATCTTACAAGTGGAGAATTCAGTATCATATGAATTTTTAGCGTTGGAGAAATTGATAGCTGCATGGGATGTCGGTCTTAGTCTTAGATAATGATGTGATTTAATTTCATTGTGGAAATCTGAACATGATGGGAAGATGGATCGGGCTGTTGAGACCTGCTGTATCATCTCTTTCAATTTAGCAATGTACATTTTTTTGAATTTTTTTATAGCATACTGCAACACTTTGATATCTTTTCCTGTGCAAATTCTATCCAATTATTATTGGATTGTATTTTCTTATTATAACATTTACACGTTTGTAAATAGACAAATCTCCTACAATGGCAACGTACTTTATTGTGGCTAACAACTTAGACAAGGTACTTTACTTTGACGCAAAAGCAACACCTTTCGTCCCCTGCAACACGGGGGGAAACTTTCTAGTTTATTAATAACATTTTGTTTTCCCCCTTATTTATATATCTATCAATATTACTAGTATATAAGTAAGATTCACATACAAAATCATTCATATGGAAGTGATGTGTGATTTTAATACAAAGAGTTGAAAAATATGAATAGTTGAAGAACTAGTTTTAGTCATAGAAAAAAGTAAAATTTTATTATTTTTTTCAATGTACCAACTATATTTTTAGCTTATGCTGATTTGTATATATCATTTCTATATAATTTTAAGAATGTTTAATATATTTCTTGAATACAAACTTGATAATATATGCTTTAAAAAATTTATGTTAGTTAAACTTATAATACTTTCATACTATTTATTATTATTATTATTATTACTATTATTATTATTATTATTTATATATATATATAATAAAAAATCTTATAAAAAAGGTCATCAAAATTAATATATTTTAAGATATCTCATATACTTATACCATATTTATTTGAAACCTGAACAACATTTCAAGTTTCAAAAACTTAATAGCAATCACTCAACAGTTTTTAATGTATATCTTATAATTATTTAACTAAATGATTTTTAATCTTCCTAAAATTAAATCCTTTACTAATAACTTTTTATTTTCCCCTCATTTTTACATTTCTATCCATATTATGAGTATATAAGATTCTCCTCGAAAAATATTCATATGTTTGATGTGGTTTATGATTCAAATATGAAGATTTAAAGAATTATAAAGAGTTGAAGAAACCAAATATATTTTAGTTTAAATTGACTTCTATGTATTTTTTCGTATGATTTTCAGAGTGTTTAATAAATTTCTTGAATACAAATTTTATAATATATGTTATAGTGTTTTTACAATACTAAAACTGTAACACCCAAAAATTTCAAACCAATTTAAACTTTTTAAAACATGTCAAGTTCATCAAAACATTACAACATTGCTTTCAAAATATTATTTATTAGAGTATTCCCGGAAACATAAACATAATATGAGGAGATGTACGATCATGCCTTCGCCTTGTCGCGATCCCCTAATTTACCTGAAACAATAAACTAAAACTGTAAGCCCGAAAACTTAGTGAGTTAATCCCAAAATACCGATACAAATACAGTCCACATAACCATGTCAGCAACAACATATCATAACAAACTGAATAGAACAGCACATAATGGGTCCACAACCCTACAAACTGTAATACCTACGAGCCCACAGTACGAGTCTCCCTCATCCCGTAACTAGAATCCTCACGAGCCCACAGTACGAGTCTCCCTTAACTCGTAACTGGAATGCTCCTAGGAATTTTTGGCTACCGCATGAAGCAGTACAACCTCAACCCATCCCATATAATAAACACATAACACAACCATTGAGCATGCAATAATCATATAACATCACAAGTAGTCCTACATGTCTACCTAATTAGCGTAACCACTAGCATGCAACACTAACTCATACTCAACATCTAACACTGCTAGGATAACATATCCAATGGGTCGGCCTTGGTGCCTTAGACCCCTTAGTATAGTGAGGATAAGTCACCTGGCACTGTTGAATTCCTACAGGTGAAGCTCCCGCTACTGGTTGACAGATTCTCGAACTGTCCACATCAAACAATACCCAATTAATAATTGGGTTCCAGACCCAAGGTCCAACTCACACTACAAAATCCCAAAAGTAAACTAATGGGCCAAATCCCAACATATGGCCCAATTTTCCA